TAGAAATATAAATATAGATATAGATTAGCGAAACATTAACACAAAAAAAAATCTAAATAATTATGAAATAGAAAAATGTGGTGATGTATATGATCAATATTCCTCATCATCAGTATATCTATATTTGGTCAAACCTAAAAACTCAACCCTCCATCCATTTCATTACTAGCTTTGATCTATTCTGTTAGCAATCCTTGACCATTGACTTTATTTTACCGAAAAAAAAATGTTACAATTTTTTAATAAACTTTTAGTAAGAATTGGGTGAATCAATTAAGAATGACTACGAGTTTTACTGAAAAAGGTATTATTATTATTTTCTATATTAGTTATAGGTACAACAAGAAATGAATATTCAGGCATATTTGTTTTTATGTTCAATAATACGACAATACATGGTATCAACTATAGTTGAACACGTATGTTTTGTTGTGATTTCTAACATATTACACTATTTAAAAATTGTTATATTCCAACATAAAATTATACAGTGATATATATCAATGAAAATTCTAAATGATATATCAATGGTATATATAACTTCGGTTGAAATCATTAACAGAAATTCTAACCAAAATATTTCAATAGAATCAGTTTTCTATTGCATTTTTAGATGAAATTTGATGATTTCAACAACTATTTTTCCAACGATTTTTTACCGTTGAAAATTTTATTTTCACCCCCACTGGAATCGTCAAAATACAACGAAACTTTCAATAGAAAATTCATTCTAATAGAATATTTTTATTAGAATTTCCATTGTATAAGAACGGTAACATTAGAATATTCATTGTAGTTGTCGTTGAATTCAATTGGAATATAGTTCTGTTGAATTTTTCCATTGAAATTTCATCATTTATTTTAGTGTTATCGACATAAATAATAATAAAAAAAAAACTTGGACTACTAGTTCAAATTTGAATTGATAATATTTCTTATTTCATTAAAAAAAAAGAGCTGAGGAAAAAATCTCAGTAAATGATACAAAAGTGAGACTAAATACGGTGCGGTGTATTTAATTATGATTTTTAAGGATTTTTAAGACTTTAGAAATTTTGGTGTATTCAATTTAAATTTGTTAAGACTTTTAAAAATTTTGAGGTATTCATTTGAGATTTCAGAAGTCTTACAAAATCATGAGGTATTTAATTTTTTTTTACACTAAGATTTATTAAGGCTTTTAAGATTTGGTGAGATTTTAAACAAAAAACTTTATATGAAATCTCACTTCAAATTCTACATCTACACATAAGATTTTACAGAATTCTTCCCAATATAAAAATCCTAAAAAATTTCAAATCATACAAAATATAAAAATGTCACTTAAATTCTCAATTGAATACACCTCCTAAGACTACTACACGCGATATATATATATATATATATATATATTTTCAAATTAAAATATTTTACTTTGAAAATAATATAAACAAAACTATACATTTTATAACGTACGCATACGTTATCGCCGAACAATTGGTGCATGCACATTATATAAACGAATCTGTGATGAAATATCAGTTTACTTCGGTGTTAGCAAATAGGAGACGTTATAACTAATCTGGTCAAGTTGGTGAGAAACATTATATTTTTTATTTTTTATTTTATTTTTATTTTTTCAATTGGTCACCATTTACACAATTATTCAGTCTACAAAACACATTATCACAATGTATATGCATGATCTCTTTAAATATATAAGGAAAATTTACGCATATAGATTCCCTATATATCTAATAAGAGCATCTATAATGGATTCGGTCTTGTCTTATCTATGCGACGTGTAAATAAACCTAAATCTTGGATGACATGAATAAAACTATGTAAAATTAATAAAATTCATTCCAATGCAAAGGAACTAGGTCTCTACTTGGGTCTAAAATAGACCTAAGGGTAGATCGAGTCTTTTTTTCTGACTGCCACATCAGCAGTCTACTTTTGTTTGCATTGGAAAATACAGTTTTGTTGACTAGATCTATTTTTTAGGTGGCATACAATTTTTGTCATTGAACCCAAAGCATTGTGGATGCTCTAAATATCTACACATAGTTCCATATTAACTTTCATTAAAATGAGAATTTAATGTGATATTTATTTCATATATACAAGATGAGATATACCACATGCTAGTAACTTTCTCTCTCCATGCATTTATTTGTACTGAAACTGCTCACCTGCCCACCGTGGGCAATGCCCACTTTTTTGTCTTATATGAAAAACGTATTCTGAGAATACGTTTTTCAATTAAATTTAATTGAAAAACGTATTCTCAGAATACGTTTTTCATATAAGACAAAAAAGTGGGCACTGCCCACGGTGGGCAGGTGAGCGGGACTGTTATTTGTACACCTGCTAGTAACTTTCTCTCCATGCATTTATTTACGGTTAAATAACCGCACATCAAAAGAAAATCGAAAAAAAATTAATAAATAACAAATCTAATACCTAGAATTAAAGGAATTCACGATTTTAAAATTTCTCAACGGTTAATTGACATTTTAAATTCGAAAAAAAATCGTCCAACCAACAAATATATGTTCAGGTATACATTATATATGCATCAAATCTATACTTATATAATAAGATATCCTATTTACCAAATTAAGTAGGTAGAAAAGTCAACGTAATTAATGCATTGCTATTTCTATCCAGAATTTTATTTAATTATTTAATTTATTTGTCTTATATCCCATAAAATCGGTTTAAGAAAAAAATCTCATAACATGCGATAAGTAAAAAAAAAAATTACGTAAATTATTTAGTATAATAAAAAAGGTTTTATTTATTTGTCTTATTCCATAATAACGTCGATTTAGTAAGAAAAAACCCATAAAATCGGTGAAATCAAAAATTCTACGTAAAGTCTATCTATACTAAAAAAAAGGCAAATTTAAAATTCCTTATCTAATTCCTTCTTATCTATACTTATATAAAGAGTCATCCTATATATTAAAATT